TATATATATATATATATATATATATATATGTAATAAATTTATTATACCACACATAGTTTTGATCTGACAAACTTTTCTCTTCATTTAAATGACAGACATGAAACTATTTTCTTTAGTTTCATTAATATTATCACTGACCATTTCTTAACTATTTACATATATCATCATATTACAGAAAATCTGTCTCAAGTGAATCTCTTCCATAATGAAAAGTAGTACAGATGTAAGCTCGCTTAATAACCTTGGTTACTCCTCCCACGTTGATTCTTTACAGAATGGATTTTCTGTACATGTAAAGACAATCTCTCTATTCTAGTGTATACTTTATCACACAAATGGCAGTGGAACTTTTTACGATTCTTATGCTGTCTACTAATGTGCATAGCTAACGACTTTTTAGAGCCAAGACTTTTTCCACACATGTTACAAACAAAACTTTCAAAAACTTCATCTTCTCTGTTAAACTGCTTTTCTTGGAATTCACTCAATAAACACTGTTCAGTAAATTGTCCACTTTCAGAGATTTGAGAATATAGGTGTATTTCTTTTTCTTCGTTGTGTACACTGGGCTCAACTATTCTTTTCATAGAACCATATTCATACATACTGTCAGGTCCTCCATGGTAACCTGGGGAGTAAAACATTTGCTCAATTTACACTCAATAGTCTAGATACAGTACTAATTGAAATGTCTGAAAAGGTTACTAAGGGCTACTAGAATACTTTGTAACCTGGTTACTGAGATGATAAACAAGATCAAGCCTCTTGGTGCTTTCCAAAACATACTTTTATTAGTAATGGTTCAAAAAATGCTAACTGTGAGATACTTGGTACAGGTTACATTTGAAATACAAGTATAACCAGAAGAATAAGTTATGTTTCTCCATCTGAACATAATCTATTTAACATACAAAACTGTCTTAATATAATGGCAGATGTGTCACAGTTTGAAACAAAGCCATAAAATTTTATATCTGAGGTAATTTATAAAAATATCACACTTTGAAACAAATCTCTTCAATTTTAAATACAATAATACATACATCAAACAGTGCCATGAAAATCTGGTTAAACAACTAATATATCAACAAGTTCATAGACATTTGGTTAAAAACAAAAAGATAAAATATATCATACAGTAGCATAAAGTTTTAAACATAAGGAAACTGGTGTTTCTGACTGGGTAAGGCACTCTGCAAACTATAGAAGTAATGAAATTGTAAAAAGGGGAAATATCAAGGTGCCAGATGTGTCTCATGAAACAGAACAGTTAAAATTGAGTATTTAAATATTTCATTTTGAAATTAAAACTCATATATTATAAAAACTTCAATTAAAAACTAAGTTTTGATACCAAGTTTATTGAAATATGTTGATGATAAAATTGTTGAAATTTTAAATGCAATTCTAAAAAGGTCATGAAGTACACTTTAATCCACCCATGTGTATAGGCTTAAAAGTATCTTAACCCATTAACTGCTACAGGAGCAGCTCAGTTGCCGTTTTCTGACTCACAGATAAAACTGAGTTGCCATCAATCACAATAAAACAGTAATTATCGTCATTTGCATAGAGTTATAATTATATATCTGTCATCCACAGTTAATGGGTTAATATAACTGACGGAAACATGAAAATTTAGACGTAAAGCATTTATTTAGAAATATTAATATAACAAACTGTACAAAGAAGTTTCAGATATATGGCAGTTGGTTAAAATGAGCCTTAAAATATTCAACAGTACCATACCATAAAGATTTAGATACGAGATAATTGGTTAGAAATAACCTTAAAGTCTGAAACAGCAATGTTAAGTTTTATATACGTGTGTTATTAAAAATTAAAATGTGAAACAGTACCAAAGTTTTAGGTATAGATGTTTAGTTACGAAACAAGTCTGAAGCAATATTTTTGTTTAGAAATTTTGTACAAAGCTTTTGCAGGAGTGCCTATATTACATTACCTATATCTTCCGAACACAAGACTACAAATATACAGATACTCCTGCATTTAACAGAAGATATAGGTAATGTAATATAGGCAATTTGTAGTCTTGTGTTATACAGATATTAAATGTTATCATATCTTGTTCAGTTGTATTGAGTTTAGATATAGAATTTGTAAAAATAATAACACACGTACTGAGGCAGGCTTTCATTATCATAACTATTCAGAGATCCTTATTCAGGGATGGCAGCAGAGAGAAGTTGAATCAACTGAAAACACTCAGGGAAGAGATATGGGTGAGGCAAAGCCTCCTTGAAGCTAAACAGCTTTTACACTCTGAAATGCATTATCTAGAGCGTATAGTTCACCGAAAACTGTGATGTTAAAAACACACAAATTGAGACTTAAGATTCAGAGCCACTATCTGGAGCGTATAGTTCACCGAAAACTGTGATGTTAATAACATACGAACTGAGACTTAAGATTCAGAGCCATTATCTGGAGTGTATAGTTCACCAAAAACTGTGATGTTAAAACATACGAATTGAGACTTAAGATTCAGAGCCATTATCTGGAGCGTATAGTTCACCGAAAACTGTGATGTTAATAACACACAAATTGAGACTTAAGATTCAGAGCCATTATCTGGAGCGTATAGTTCACCAAAAACTGTGATGTTAAAAACACACAAATTGAGACTTACGATTCGGAGCCATTATCTGGAGCATATAGTTCACCGAAAACTGTGATGTTAAAACATACAAATTGAGACTTAAGATCACAGGCTTTATTCTAAATTGAAATGGAAAAAAATTTATCATCAAATTCTTGTGATACTTTTAGGCACTACTGAAATAATGTAACTATTACGTAGATTTACATTACAATACTATAAGATGTACCCTAGGACTTTTGGGTTATGCTGTATTATTGTTATTACAGACTTACTAAGCATAAAGCCAGGTGAGCCTCCTTAGTACCTAACCTTACCATGCTTACAATGACACTGTTGTTAATGTTGACTTTAGACCATTTAGTTTATGACTTACAATTAAGTTATGTAGTTGTATGCTAAGTCAATCACAAGTTTAGGCCTATTAAAGACAAAATAAAATAAATATAGATGTTTATTACTTTAATGACTGTGTACACGAATTACTTTGAATGGATCATCCCTAAATTGGCACATAAATTGTGCATACTTCACTTCAGAAATCTGCCGATCAACTATGTTTATAATAATAAAAGAGCCTGTCTGTCTGTGTGTGTGTGTGTGTGTGTGTGTGTGAGAGAGAGAGAGAGAGAGAGACCACCATAGTTCCAAGAGGAAAAAAATCCTAGAGACATAAAACTTTGTGTGCATTCTAAGGGATTGTGAGGGTCTACACTTGAGTATTAATTTTAGATTTGACTCAAAACATTTTTGTCCTAATTCTCACTCACTGAATGAACCATATGTGGCAGTTTTCTGCCAAATACTGTTGAAAAAGAACATAATGATAAAAAAAATCTACCAAGATTGGTCAACAATTGAGAAAATCAATAGGGTATAGGTCCCAATATTTCATAGCCAGTCAAAGGCAACAGGAAGGAAAACAAAGGAACAGACCCTCAGAATACTAGAAAATGTAATCATACAAAACAGTTGAAGAATATTGATACATGTAAAAAAATTCAAACATAAACATGGGAAGAAAAATATGAAAGTTAATTATAGAAGTAATTAAGATAATGGAGATGCTTGAATGGTGCATTGATGCCTCTGTGAATCCCATAGTGGAACAGATTTTTACTGAATGTTTCAAAGTAAGCGTACGCTTGTGGTAGTGAGATTTTTACTGAATGTTTCAAAGTAAGCGTACGCTTGTGGTAGTGAGATTTTTTGCTGAATGTTTCAAGGTAAGTGTACGCTTGTGGTAGTGAGATTTTTTACTGAATGTTTCAAAGTAAGTGTACGCTTGTGGTAGTGGGATTTTTTACTGAATGTTTCAAAGTAAGTGTACGTTTGTGGTAGTGAGATTTTTTATTTTAACAATTTAATTTTTTTCAATTAACAGAAATCTGTTCTGGGACAGAACTTTGCTTTCCCTACTTATTCTAGAGACATAGCTAATTATTTCTTTATGAACTTTCATTATGCAATAAAATGACACCAGGGGAAGTATACTTTGATTCTAACTTAGCATAGAAATGAAACATTTTGAGTTTGAGTACATTTATCTTACTGTCTTTATGAGCTTTAACCCAATACACCAAGTTACATTAACATTAAAATTGTGTTCTCTTTAGAAATTATGTTCATTTTTCTCAAAAACCCATAAACTGATAGATAAATTGCCCCAAAAGTAGCCCAAAATGAGATTTAATAAATGTTTATCTCCAGAACAATACATGTTCCTTTGTGTTGCAAGTCAAATTTTTGTGTCTAAACATAGAAAAGAATGATGCTGAGATACATTAAGCTCAAACATTAGTAAAGCTTCCACAATTTAAGTGGGTTTCCTAGGATATTAACAACAGGAGATCTTTTGGTTTATCTAGGCTGACCTACCCATCAAACATAAAAAAAAGAATAACTCAAAGCCAGCTCCTTTCATTTAAATATTTATGAATCTTGCTCTTAAATTACCTCAATCTATCACATCTAAAGTCAACCTGTTCCAAAGACCAACCTGTTGTAGTTCCCATGTACCCACTAGAAATACTACCTACTTTAACAACCTGAAATGTCACCCACATAAACAGATACCTTACCTCAAAAATGCCACAAAATCAAATTTGATAAAGGATTCTTCCATGTGGTGTTTTGTTTTCTGAACTGTATTTGCTAAATACAGTGACTACCTAGGCCCTTGCAATAATATATTTATATGTCTGTAACACACTGACCCCTAGTGTCATTTGTTAGTATAAGAAAGATAATTGTTTCTAACCAGTCTTATCAAGAGTTACAGTCATCTTACTCTTAATCTACAAACAGGTAGTACCATCCAGTTATCTCTACTCACCGTAGTCAGATACTCAATGAAAGGTTTCACACCTATCTGAGTAATGACATTTAATGTTATGTCTTCCAAATCTTCATGTTTCTCCTGCACCAGATAAGCTCTTTCTGTATCTTCAGTCCATGACGTTCCTTACATCAATAACCTCATCTAACCTTTCTTCCTTTTCACATCTTGATTAACCTCATACAAAATGTTAGATTTTTCTTGATATCTGTACCTTCGGTGCATTCCTCAGTACTGAAACACATTGGTAACACATCTGCCCATTCACTTATATTAAGATGTTTTAGAATCAAAGCAACATCATCTTCAGAACCATTTTTTTCCAACAATTTGGCCATCAGTTTAACTATTTTATTACCGCATTTCTCTTAATTTCATTTCTATACAAAATGTTCTTACACAAAACCATTGGATTGAATTAGTTTTAATCATCCAATCAGATACCTATTTTTCTAAATACTTATCCCATGGTAAGGTTATAGTGATTGGATATAAATCATTAAAAAAGTAATTAGCAAAAAAATAATGTTGCAATTAATGGCATAAGTAAGCAACAAGACTTGGTACTTTAAATTGAATTTTTGAAGAAACCTTAATAGAATAGATACTATGTTAATTAATAAACAGTTAAAACTAATAGAATAAGCTGTACTTGAGTCATGTAGTAGGCTTAATAATCCAATACTAACACTGTAACAGCTAAGTTGTAACACTTAACACCAGTTACGGTACTACCACTAGTAATAATAATAAAACTAAAAGTAAAACTGTTGTTTGTAAGTTGTAATTGTTATTGTAAAGTTAGATTTTAATAGCATAAACGATACTGAATTTACTAATTTAGCACTAGAACTACTACTTGTTTACTACTAAATGTACTACTACAGTACAACTTACAAGTACTACTAGTTACTAAGTTAGGACTAACGCATAGTGAAAGGAACCGTGGCTGTTCTGTATAAAATATAGCCACCTTATAATATACTTTAACTCATGATGTTAGAAAGACACGTATGTTCAGGAAGTCTTGACAGAAATAAATAAAAACCCTATAACTTATAAGTATAAATTATAACCCGAGCGCTTTCGAAAGGTGTGCTTTTCTTCTTCAGGGGCAAACTCGTTTTACTCACTACACTTCTCGAAATCAACATTTCAATAAACTAAATTTAATCAAGTAAACACAGCCATGTTTCTTGAAATCATACACACTTCCACCTCAGTTGAACAGTGAGTGAAACCTAAAAACTTCACTTATTACTTCCAGATCCACCATGTTTTATGTTAATGACGTCATAAAAATACACTATTTCGCCTATTTTACTATCAACATTACATCATTACAAAACTATTTACAGAGAGTTACATAACTTTAATCTTGTGCCCCCCATTTGGTCAGCAGTAAGCTTACGGGCTTACAACGCTAAAATTCGTGGTTTGATTCTCCGCGGTGAATAGAGTACAGATAGTCTTTGTGTAACTTTGCCTAAGAAAACAACTTGTCTATATTTTCACACTTCTAAGACTAGAGGGAAGGCAGCTAGTCATCACCACCCACCGCAAACTCTTGTGCTACTCTTTTACCAACGAATAGTGGGATTGACCGTCACATTATAACGCCCCCACGGCTGAAAGGGCGAGCATATTTAGCGGGACGGGGATTCGAACCCGCGACCCTCAGATTGCGAGTCGAGCGCCCTAACCACTTGGCCATGCCCACTACTAAATTAGGGACGGCTAGCGCAGATAGCCCTCGTGTAGCTTTGCGCGAAATTCAAAACAAACAAACCATTAAGAAATACACGAGATATAAACAAAATCTGGGATTTTGACTGAATTTTTTTCTTTTCTTTTTTTTTAGCCGCGGCATTGCGGCTTATAGAACGGCTTTGGTCTTTTTGTTTGTTTGTTTGTTTCTAGCTGCGGCTTATAGAACGGCTTTGAGATTTGTTTGTTTGTTTGTTTCTAGCTGCGGCATAGCGGCTCATAGAATGGCTCCGAACTTAAAAAAAACAAAAAACACAAACTTTTAGCTCATAGCTCCATCATCTCTTGACCGATTTGAGATATAATTACAGTTTTAGAGTCAGGAGGTCAAATCCTTTCGGTAGATGTATTTAACTACACCCAAGGTCTCATAGTTTAACTTACTCTAGTCCTGCCTAAAAGAATTTCAATTTGAGGGTAGGCTAGTAGAGATCCTGATGAGTAATAAAATCGAATCGGGTATACGCGCGCCCCACGCTTGGTATTGCTTGAGCACAAAAATATAGACAGTAAAAAGGTAAATAAGGATCTCATAGATTATATAATCCTGCCTAAAAAAAGTTCAAGTGCCGCGGCTATTGAGAATTCACTCTTTTTGTTGTTGTTGTTGTTTTTCACACCGGAAGTATGGAAACTATATTTGATATAAAAACATACTTAACTTTCATAAATTTCAAATTTGTTATACTGATATATATTTACAACCTACAATTAGGGGTCAAGTTTGGTCTAAATTTTAGCCATATTTGCAAAGTTATTCAACAAAAATCGCTTAAATTTGACTAAAATGTTTACGCACGCTTACGCAAAAAGTCACGTGAGCTATCG